TTGCAAAGTTAAAGCGATTTATGCAGAACTAACCCCTCAAGATTGGTCAACTTCCTAAAGTAACCCAAACTTCAATAAAAAAATATTTTTTTTAAACATGCACTGATATATATATATATATATACACACACACATATCTGACGGGTATTATAGTCACCCTCAGAGATTCTGCATCCTAGGGGGAGCAAAGGGAAGGAGAATATGCTCCATCAAAGAACCAGGACCACAAGTCGGAAGGCAAAGCAGTCGCTGAAGAAGAGAATCTGAAAGTACTTTTCAATATCGCTCAACCCTTGTTTGAAGAATCTACCTCTCAGGTAGTAGTCACTTCTCTGTATCAACTTCAAATTCCATCAACTACCTGCGGTCGACTAGAGTGGGTCCCTGAAAACCCTGTCTCTAGTGCTCCCACCGACCAGCAGATGGCTCAGCTAAAGGAGTCACTCGACCAGACTAGAGTAAAAATCTGTCTTCGTACCTCTAGTGGTGGTGAGTTTGACTTCCTTTTAGAAGCTGAAAGACTCGAGGCATTAAAGGCTGAAGAAGAGCTAGAGTTTCAGAGGAAGCAGAGTGAAGACAGCTTAAAGCTGGCCAAGTCACTAGCTGAGAAGATTCTCCCCAAGAGAAAGTCCAAGAAGAAGGTGAACGCTGTCCAAGCCTAGGCTAAACTTCTTTCCATTGTAGAAGCTGAGCATGAGAAGAACTTGAAGCTGGTGAAAAAGGACAAGCGATGGAGCGAAGCAAAGCTGAAGAAGAGAGTCAGTCCCCACCCGATCATCAGCTTCAGCATCAGCGGACGTTCAAAAGACGGTGGAATACTGGTCTCAATGCTCATCACCAAGGACAATCTCGATGTCATCACCGAGTACTCCTACCTTGGCCGATATGGATACAGCAAATGGATGGAGATTAGGCAAGCCATTCAGCGATCCAAGTCAAGACATAAGGCGATTATCGAGGACACCATCAGCAATCTCATCAAACGGATGTCTAGGTATGTCGTAGTCCCTAACATGCCTTCTCTAAAGAAAGGTGGGAAGAAAAAGAAACAAAAGCTGTCTAATCCTAATGATGGACCATTCATAAGGAACGAACATGAAACAAGGTTCTCCTTAGATGAAATCCTGAAGGGTCATGAGAGTATAGACATTTCTATGCTGAATCTTGACTTGCCATATAAGGGTCCCTATACACCCAACGCTATGCATTTCAAACCTGAGTTAGGAGTTATATTCCTTGACTATGAAGGTGAAGTCAGATTTCAGAGAATGTCAGAGCTACATCTATGTCCAATGGGTCATCTGGTTTACCTCTTACTCTGGATAGATGATAACATGCTTGGAAAAGTCATGGACTTGAAGATACGAAGGGAATGCCTACGTCGAAGAAACCTTGGTGAAGATGTACCTAGCTACATAGATCTGAGTGTTCTAGATTAGTTTCTCTTTGTAATAATTGTTCACTTTTCCTTGTAAATCTATTTTACTATGTCTACTTTCAGTGATTAATCTTCTAGTCTGTAAGTATTGGACATGTACTGAATTGTTTGTAATATTACCAATGATAATAAAATGAGTATTTCTTGTACTTCACTGAAAAAAATTCCTGAAAAAAGTAATAGGGATACAAGTCTATGAGCTCCAGTGTTACTTTTTACATTTACTGACAATCAATAAGTCAGTGAATAAGCTTTCAGTTTCAGTTTTCATCCTTGTAATTTTCACTTAAATATGACTTAAGGAAATTCTCAAGCAAAGACTAACTCACTGAAAAAGATCCCAAAATAGTAAAAAGGGACATGTACTTTATATGTAACTTTTCCTTACTGTTATTTGATAAGACAACTTTCTTTATGTTGTCTTGTTATCATCAAATAGGGGGAGATTGTTGATCCTCTCTCTCAGTGATTTAATGATAATCCCTTTTCACTTATACGTTGTATTTATATTTCTGTCTTTTCAGTTCCAGCAATCATCACTGAGTCTGTTCAGTGATCGTTGAAGAATTTGTATTGTAATTCAATCAGAGATAGCGATACTTCAAGAATACAACACTCACACCAAAGAACCTTCAACCAAAGTCAAAGACTGAAACTGAAGATTAGACACTGGCGAGTACGTGATCTGAAGCGGTGCTTAGTGATTACAAGCATGTCTACATATGTGGAAGACTGCTCAAGCCTCAGCGAATACTGAAGAGACCTCCAAGTTATTCCAGCATTCAGCGATCAAAGGAAGCTTGCTAAGCACAATTGTTGTTGTCTTCTCCTTATACACACAAAGGACAAACCCATACCCTTTCAAAATTTTAGTACGGTACGAAGACGACTAGTTGATTCTATTACCCACCAACTTTAGGTAAGGATATCTACTCATGAATAGCTTTTTGTACTATTCACTGTAGCAAAGAGCAAGCCTTCCTCTTAAGGCTTGACATGCACTCTAACCCTACCATATTGCATTAAATGAACATTTAATGCATTGGGTATAAATAGAAGTGTTTCTTCTCCATGCAGAGTTCGTGCAACACACTCTCTTAACCTAATTCTTACTTTGAGCATTCTAGAGCTTAAGTAAAAGAACTTTTCTTTACAACATTTCTTTTCTCATTTGCTAAGATTCTGTGTGTAACCAAAGATTGTTTAGATAGGTTTTCTTACCTTATCTTTCCGCAAACAGTCTTGTAAAATTTGTATTGATCTTCTCTTATCAATACATTTTAAATTCGAAAATACTATGTTTGTATTCACCCCCCTTCTACAAACTGTTATACATATCTTGTAGACCCTCAAGGGACCAACAACATCCGTACAGTAAATAGAAATATACTTTCCTACTTTTAGAGGTGAATGTTATGCTCTTGGGCTTTTTGATGACGACAAGGAATATGTTGATGCCATTACAGAAGCAAGTTAAATGGATATGGTTTTTATCTACGCTTCTTATTTGCAACCATGCTGATTTCAAATAGTCTGTCCAGACCAGAGTTTGTTTGGCAGAAAACATGGCAATACTTAGCAGATGACATTCTTTACAATCAATGAATTGCACTAAAGTCTCCACTCTCCAGGTATGTTAATTATCTATTTTAAGTATAGATTTATACTGTTATTATTTAAATATAAAATAATTTATTCTTCTTGTTTTTGTTAAGTATTATGTTCTTTCTTAAATTGATTTTTATGTTTACATTTACATTATACTTTTTACAGATTTATCTCTCAATGAAGAACATGTCAAGAATATCACATTGTTTGAAATTGAAAAGATTTTACTTCGTAACAATTCCATTCTACAAAAATTCACCACTATGCCTTATCCTGATAATGATTCTCTTGAAACTTCAAACAATCGTTTGATTACGGAGGAGCTATATTATAACATAGCAAATCTACGTGATGAGTTTCATCAACTTCTAGCTGCTCCAACAAATGAGCAAAGAGGTGTTTATGACGATATCATCACAACTGTTGAAAAGGAGGTGTGGTTTTTGTTTATGGACATGGCGGAACAGGTAAAACATTTCTATCGAAGACATTAGCTGCATCAATAAGATCTAAAGGAGAAATTGTTTTAAACGTTGCTTCTAGTGGTATTGCTTCTTTACTTCTTATCGGAGGCAGGACAACACAGTCTCGCTTTCAAATCCCTCTAATTATTAATGAAGATTTTCTTTATCACATAAAGTCAGACAACGATGTTGCGAAGTTAACAAAGAAGACTACATTTATTATATGGGATGATGCACCAATGGTTCATAGACATGCATTTGAAGCATTGGATAGAAGTATGAATGATATTTTTAATAGTCGAGGCATTAGTGACTCACATATGCTTTTTGGTGGCAAGGTAATTGCTTTTGAAGGATATTAGACAAATTCTGCCAGTTATTCCCAATGCAAGTAGACAAGACATTGTTAATGCGTTAAGTTCATCTTACATTTGGGAAAAATGCAAAGTCCTAAATTTAACTAAGAACATGAGGTTAACTGTTGACAGTAAACCTTCTGAAATGGAACAGACAAGGGTTTTTGCAAACTAGATTCTGGACTTAGGAGAATGCAATGTTGGTAGTGTGAATGATGGTGAGGCACTTGTTGATATACCTCATGATCTTCTCATTACCGATTCAATGGATCCTATATTTGCCATTAATTGAATTTGTCTATCCTTCAATTCTTGTAAATATAAAAAAATCATCTTATTTTCAGGAAAGAGCAATTCTTGCACCAAAGCATGAAGTCGTTCAAGAAATATATGATCGTTTGCTATCATTGTTCCCTGGAGACGAATAAAAGTATCTAAGTTCAGATAGCCTATGTGAATCAGAGCAACTTCACGACTAGTTTGATAAAACTTTGTACTCACTTGATGTCTTAAATGGTCTTAAATTATCAGGGTTGCCAAACCATAAGATATTACTAAAAGTCGGCGTTCCAATTATGTTACTAAGAAATATTGATCAGAAATCTGGATTATGTAATGGAACCAGACTACGGGTATTATCTTTGGGAAATTGGGTTATAAAAGCAGAGATCATATCTGGAAGTAATATTGGAAGTCGAACATTTATTCCAAAAATGTCTTTGACATCTACAGACAAAATGATTCCATTCAAGTTTCAAAGGAGACAATTTTCAATTGCTGTATGTTTTGCCATGACCATAAATAAAAGTCAAGGACAGTCATTATCGAAAGTTGGTTTATTTATAAGATAATCATTTTTCACCCATGATCAACTATATATTGTTTTATTCAGAGTTAAAAACAAATAAGGTTTAAAAGTATTAGTTATAGATGATTATGATATAATTAGCAATAAAACAAATTATAGTTTAGAAAGTCTGCTCTTGTTCGCTATGCTAGGGATCATATTGTTAAACCCGTTAAAGTGGGGGCATGCTTTTGCATTTTCTCGAAAATAAAACCCCAATAACCGCAACGCCCACGCCCTCCTTAAACCCTCCCATCTTCACAAATCAAAACCCTAAAATCGTTCTCCCCCTTCTGCATCTCTCTGTCGCTCTTGCTCGCTCTATCTCTGCATCTCTCTCTCTCTCTCTCTCTTTCATATACACAAATCTCGAAGATGGTATCAACTCAACTGGATGAAGAAACTGTTAAGAAAGTCATTCGACAGGTTTGAACTCGAAGATTTCCCTCTGATACAGTTGAAATAGATTGAGTATGAATGCATTTTTTTTACTCATTGATAATTTTTTTGGCAGGTAGAGTTCTATTTTAGTGATAGTAACCTTCCGAGAGATAATTTTCTTAGGAACACAATTGCTGAGAGTGAAGATGGCAGTATCCTCTTTGTCTTATGCGTATACTGTCTACATATTTACAGATTCTTTATGATTCGAACCTAGTAAAGATGCGATTATGATTTTGTTGCAAATTTAGTCTCACCGTTACTTAATCTGTGGTGTTTGTCTTGAAGTTGGCTGTCTTTTCTAGTAAAGTTTAAATCTGTATCAACCTGTGAAGTTGAATGTGACAAGCATGACGTCTAATTTGATGCGGGAAGTGAAGGAATTATCATCTGTTGATGCACCTCTATTCTCTTTTGAGTAAATATTTGTGTGCTGCTTCGTTGTGGAAAATTTTGGATTTAGCTTGAATATTGAGACCTGTTTGAGTATTACTCCCTTTGTCTTAGCAAAATTCTGAAAAAGTTATGCACTTTCACTTTGAGTGTGGAAGGAACTAGTTTCATCATTCAAATTGATACGGGTTATGAAATGTCTTCGCAAAAATCACAGGTACTTGATTACAAAACAATGATCATTGATTGCTATACCTGTAATAAAAAATGCAAGTTTTGCTTTTCAGAGTTACTAACTTGTTTGCTAAAGTCAAAAGTGAAGTCATAGTGTCCGGGTCTTAGATTTAGAATTACAGTGAGTACTTTTCAGCTTCCAGAATCAGAGTGGAAAGGCATATAAATTAAATGCTTTCAGTGTGGTGCGGCTCTATGAATTTGAACTTACATATGTGTTGGGGGATGGGTTGGGGATATGCGATGTGAAGAAGTAAGACTGCAAAAATGTTAACTGGTCTAAGATGCTTCATGATTTTCTTAACTGAATCTAAAGTGGTAAGCTTGTCCTTGATATGCTCTTTTTCCCGGATGAGAGGCCATCTGGGATTGGGAGAGATAAAGGCTGAAGATGTTTCGGAAGATACAGTGGAAGCTGTGGCTGAGACATTAAAGAAATCGACCACTCTTAAAATTTCTGAAGATGGTGAGTTTAAAGATGCTGTGGCTTCTCTGAGCATGTTGTGTTTGTTAAATGTTTCTTCGATTATTGATTGTTGAGTGCTTATGTTTTGGTCGTATGATGTATGTATCTTTCAGGGAAGAAGGTTGGAAGGACAACAGAACTCCCAAAACCAGAAGAGGCAATTGATCAATTGGATGGTAGAACAATTGCTGCATCACCAATTGAGTATGATATAAAGCTTGAGGAGGTGGAATCCTTCTTTGGGCAATCTACCAAGGTAAAGTGTGCTTCCTTTTTTTCTTTTTTTTTTAAGTTGAGCCTACAACATACTATTTTTATCGCCATTGCCCTTTTAATGCTAGAATTTCTGTCTTCTATGGAAGTTCTTGATGATTTCAGGATTTCTTTTTTGCCTGGTATGACCTACAACTGAGGGAACTGACCAACTTTGAATTGTGACCAGTCTATAAATATGAATGTTTGGATGGATGATCGATGGAGTAGGGAGTAGATGATGCATATTTTTGTTAATGAAATCTATGCTGTTAATCGTGCCGCTATGTGGCGGTGCCATCACGGTTCACGGTCGTGGGAAAAATATATTAGCGGCACTATTGACCGCTAAATTACCGCATTTTGGGATGCAAAAGATGCGACCCCTTAACTGCTATTTGTAGATAGGCTGTTTTGGTGTTAAAAAATAATTTTGTGGGCTTTTTTTTGGACCTGCATTGTGTTTTATAATAGTCCGGCAATGTTAAGGTTCATTATTCTTATTGTTTTGGATTTGGACACCATTATTCTTATTTTTTTTTAGATTTGAACACCATTATTCTTATTTTTTTAGATTTGAACACCATCACTTTGACCTTTGGCTTTGAATAAAAGTATTCACATCGTTTAATATTTTTATTTGGACTTGGTCATCATTATTCTTATATATTTTTTGTTGAATACATATAATATCCTTGAGTTATCTATACATATATATATGTGTATATATATATATATATCTAATTACTATATGAACCACTATTTTTGGACAGCTTTACCATTACGATAACCGCTATTTCAGATCATGGTCCTGACAGTGAGTGCATATTTGACTGCTGTAGCAGCATAGAATGAAATATGTTTAGCTGATAATTTTACATGTTGGGCTATCTGATCTTGGTGTCATGTCGTACAAACGCATATATAGATTGATGGTGATACTAATTGGCAGTAACATTGCATTTGGAATTTTTTTCGAAGTCTTTTGATCTATGTAGACGAATACAGGAAAATTTTCTTAAGTTCTGCCATTTGCATGGTCTCTTACTGAAACTCTGATATTTTTCTTGCCAACGCAGGTCAATAGTGTGAGGTTACCTCGTCATGTTGCTGATAAGAGGGTATTTTGTGGTTCTGCTCTTGTTGAATTCTCATCTGAGGAGGATGCCACTAAGGTTTTGACACAGTGCTTGGTTTTCAGAGGTGCTGAGTTGGAACTAAAACACAAGTAAGATATAATTGTCCATTGTGGTGCTGGTTTCTTAAATTACGAGGATATTGGGAAGATAAGTTCATGGGGTTGCGTTTGATTTACGGGCCTTTGGTACCTAACTGCTTTTTGATTGTTCTATTATGCAAGTTACGTTTTCCCTCAAGTTGAACTCCCTGTGAGGTCATATTTGCTGTGAAATAATTTTTGCATGATGATGAAAGTTTGTAAACAGAGATTAAATTCAGTTAGATGGGATGCACCTAGACATACAGTCATAAATGTGTTGGTAGTGAAAGGTTTTGTACTTTTCGAGCCAGATCTGCAGCAACTGTGCCATTTAGATTTAGAATCTCCAATGATATCCTCCATCAATTGTTTGATCTCTCACAATTATCCGTTTCTGATGCGTTTTTTACTGCAAGTTCTGTCTGATAGTCTTTATCTTTATGTTGCCTTTGTATTTGGTATTTTTGGGTTTTCTGTTTTAAGTTGTTTCAATGAATATGTAGTACATGTGATGCCAGATGTATACAATGCAGATCTTGTTCTTGTGTGCTTGCGACTGCTTTATCTTCATATCACTCATCTTTCCTTTTACCAATTTAGGAAAGAGTTCGATGAGCAGAGAGCAAAGGAAGAAGAAGCTGAGAATACCCGTCGCAATATGTTTCCAAATCGTAAAAACAATTCTCCAGAAGAAGAGTAAGTACTGAGATCCTTTTTGAGCTTTTGTTGTTTATATTGCCATTAGTCTTATTGTTGATCTGAGTATCACTTATTGTGATGTTGACAGCTACCCAAAAGGCTTAATTGTTGCATTTAAGTTAAAGAGCATGCCATGTGAAGGTGCTTCGGCGGACAATGATAACCTGGTAAAATCCAGTGATGCTACTGATGTTCAGGTAACGGATGTGAAACCAGATTCTATGGAATTGGTTGCTGAAGATACTGATAAGAAGGGATCTGGAAATGTTGAAAGGGACAGCACAGAGAGTGTTGAGGAAGAGAGTGAACCAAAGGTTGATGTGAAATCTAGTTCCGAGAATGAAGAAGTTGAAGATAAAAAGAAATCTCCAGACAGCATGCTTCAGAATGATGAGAAAAAAACGGAGACTAAAAAGTTATCTGCTGACATGTACAAGGACAATAAGGATGTTGTTTTACGTGAGGATCTTAAGAGTGTTTTCCAGAAATTTGGTACAGTTAAGGTATATGATTGTCCTAATAGGTTTTTCCTGTTACTTTTATCCTGGATTTGGCTCTATGGCTTTCTTGAGATTCTACTTGGTTGAAGTAGTAACTTGATCCCATCACAGACGAATACTCTTGAGGTCTTTTGTCTTTTCTAATCTGCTCATATTTTCTTCTGTTGACATTCACTTTGTCATAAGTAAAATAATTAAATAATTCTAGGCCTGTTGAATTTCTTATTTTTGTCATGGGGGTTTCTTTTCAGTATATTGATTTCAAGATGGGAGAGGAGTCAGGATACATACGGTTTGAAGAAGCAGATGGCACACAGAAGGCACGGGCAGCTGCTGTGCTTACGGAGGAAGGTGGTCTGACCGTGAAGAACTATGTTGCTATTTTAGATCCAGTAACAGGTAAGTTACAACATTGCGTGCACGAAACAAAATCTTTGTACTGCGTCTTAATTCTTTTTCTGAATTTGGGCGTCTTATTTTGCGTTTTTCAAATCTAAGATCTGACCATGTTGGTCTTAGGGTTACCTTTAATTGCTGCTATATCAATTATGTCTAGTTCAAAATTTAACATGATTTTTCTTCAAAGATAATTTAAGGTACCTTTCTGAGCAAATATGTCAAATGAATCTAAGAAAGCACCAATATATTTGATATCTATTAACATGTATATTTTAGACTGTACAAGGAAATGTCATGTACTGGTTGATGGGTAGTTCTTTTCTAATTTTTATGCCTTCTTGTTTAGGAGAAAGCATTGGATACTATCATTGTATCATGTCATATGCTGATATGGTACATTAAACCAGTACAGATTTTGTGAAAATAGTGATGTGGCATCTCCATGCACATCTACTAAAAGTGAGAGCATAACCCTGAAACACCTCCTGACTTTCTACTTGTCTGATTGGTTTGATGGACTATGTGATGTCATCATGTCGACATGGTACAACATTGGTCCGTCAATGGGGCCTGTGTAGAAGATTTCGAGTTGATAGGCAATTACAGAACTCTGGCCATCTCACATTTTTGCTCCCTTCCTTCTTCTTTTTCTGCCTTCCGTTTTACTCAGTCTTGCACAACACCCCCCCTCCCCGCGCGGCAAGGGGGGGAGGGGGTGTTCTTCGCCACCGGGGGGGGGGGATTTCTTCATGAGCGTGGTATACTTTAATCTTTAGGTTTGGTTTTGGCCATCTTCAGTAACTAGGAATGCAGTGCATATTTCCGTGGCTTTTCTTCCTTTTTGTTCACAGTTTTTTGTTTCATATGATTTGTTTTCTTTTCATCCTTGCCAAGGAGGAGCTTACATCACCTACTATGTAAGCATGCATGCTTTATACTGATGACTGTCGCTTTCTGTTCTTTTTCCTTTCAAAATTCGTACAACTAAATGAGCTGTTAATATCTGTAATATTCTCAGGGGAAGCCGAAAAGGAGTACTGGAATATGCTCCGTGGTCAAGAGAAATTCCGAGGAAATAAAGGCAATTGGAGCAGGTTAGTATTGCATATAAAGATTTTACCTTTCTCTATCATAGTGGAAATATGTGCACATATGTCAAAAAAGCGACACACCTTCACTTTACAGGGTCAAGAAGGCTAATCTCTGACTCAGAAGTTGATATTCTTTTCGTCCCAAAACACAACACTTTTCCTTGGGACATAGTTTATTAACGGGCAAAATTTGCTAAAAAGAACGAAGTTATTGTATTTTTTTTTTTGGGATTGAGAGGATCCACAACTACATCAAACCTTTCTTCGAGAAAAAGGGGGAAATGCTTATCTGATTAAATCATTAAATGACTAAATGCATTTGGATACACTTGTAGCATAATTGTATCTGTTTTGAATTTGAGCAGGATAGGTTTGATCTCACGACTCATTATCTTCTATTTTGATTCACGAAAGGACTAATTGATTTCTATGAACTGCCGCTTTGGCTTGTTTCAGTTTTTTTCTTTGGGACCTGTTCTTTTATTTCATCCGCTCACTTTTTACATGTTTAGGGGAGGAAAAAACAACAGAGGTGGACGGCAATTTAATGGGAAGCATAATCGCTCAAGAGAAAATAATTCTGGAAATCGACCAAACAAGGTTCATAAAGTTGCAGCAGCTTGAATCGGTGAATAATGAACCGATTGAGCGTTTGTTTTTCATTATTGGCTTTCTCAAGTCTTCTGCGACTGGTAACTTAAGACCGTTACTTTTTCACCGAAAACTGTTGGTTTATGTTTCTCTTTTGATATCGTGACCACTATAGTATTATTATTGTTCTTTTTGGCAAATTGAAGTGTGGTTAAAGTTTATGGTTCAGGATAGCCCTCGTCTTTTCTTTTTGTTCCATCTTATATACATGTCTAAATGGGATCAATTATATAATTGTGGTGGGTTTGGTATTTTATTTTGGCTTTCTCTCTTTTGAAGAATTCGATATAAATGTGTATAAATCACTGGCAATTTCAAATATATCCATAATATCTGGATTTATTCACAATTTAAAAGATTGTGTAGGCTTTTAGCTGAAGTCTATGTTTTAAAGAACTCGAGATACAAATCAAGAAAGACTGCTAGAGTTCAATGCGTTGACCGTTGTATATTTGTGAAACCAAATTGATCAATCAACCTGTATGGTTTCCGTAATTTTGATATCCCCATCACATATCAGACATTGACATAGTTGTAGAGTATGTGAACTTATATATAAAAAACTACATATGATTCAGAAACTCGAATAATATCATGTGTTTATGATATTAATTATTACTTAACTTGCTATCATTATTTTGTGTTAAAAATGTAATTATGATAACTAAATCCTTTACATATAACTTTGTTAAAATAATATAATTAAATAAAAAAATTTATAATTAAAAAAATTGGGCTTAAAGGGAATTGGCTTAAGGATTAAGATAATCTTCGCCCATGCTGAGAAAATTAGTGTTTATTTTTAATATATGCTAGCATTCTCTTGAGAACCTAATAAATTATTATAACCTTGAAAACTGGATTTTTTCAATCTATGGCTTGGATTTATTAGATTGATTAACATATATTTGTTTACAATGTGCTTATTTAACATATATTTGTTTCATAATGTGAACATCTTTTATGTGTCTGTGAAACAAAAAATACAATTAAAAAGTTGCACATTGTGAAACGAATACATACGAAACAAACACATTATGAAATAATATATATTAATCAATATATTAAATCCAAGCCATAGATGGAAGAAAATCACGTGAAATAACACATGATACACCAGTTCTTAAAGTTATCACAATTTATTGGGTTCTCAAGTGATTAAGCCCCTGTATATACATATATTAGTGGTGTACTAGCGCGATGCAGCGCGGGTAAATCACAATTCTGAAACATTAGTTTGACCTTGAATCATGATTTTGTGTGGTTATATTGCAAGTCAACTAATATATAAAGTTGAATCATAAATTTATGTGGTTATTTTGCAAGTCCAAATTTTGTCCAAATTTTTTTTGCATCGCCCATTAATATACAATTATGTATGTTAATGTGATAAGAATGTAAAATGAAAATGAAAAAGTTAGGGATATACTAAAAAATTAAATGCTTAACTACAAAAGTATATAGTGTAAGTATTAAAAATATTGTATCCGCACTATATATGATAGATAATAATATAATTAAATCAAAAAATATTCAATATTGTGTTCATTTCAAAGGTATTGAAAAGACGATTATAATAATATAATTAAATCAAATAATATTCATTATTGGGTTCATTTTGAAGAGATTGACGAGACGATTATAATGGTGTAATTTGTTAAAATAAAAACGTATTTTTAACGTATTTTAGATAATATACGATTATGTATGTTAATGTGATAAGAGTGTAAAAAGAAAAATGAAAAAACAAGGAGATGTACCATAAATTAAATAATCAATTACAAAAGTCTAAAGTGTAAGTATTAAAAATATTTTTTCGTAATATATATATGATATAATAATATAATTAGATAAAAAAAAATTCAATATTGGACTTATTTCAAATGTATTGACGAAACGTTTATAATGATGTAACTTGTTAAAATTAGAATGTATTTTTTTATACGTATTTTGGTTAATATACAATTATGTACCTTAATGTGATAAGGGTGTAAAACAAAAAATGAAAAAACAAATTAATTATGTAATTTTAAAATTAAAAAATTTATTATGTGAAAGGAGTATGTGTGTAAAGAGAGTATTCATCTACCTCGAGACCCCATCTTAAATAGTACTCTTTTTTTCCTCTCTTTCTTTCTCTCTCTCTCTCTCTCTCTATATATATATATATATACATATATGTATATATATATACATACATACATGGTTGGTGAATAGTACTCTTTCTTTTCACTTGTGTCATCCCTCTATTTACTTTCTTCCATGGTTATCCTTTCCCATCATGAGTTTCTTTCTCTCTCTTCTTTCTTTAATTTCCCAAGAAAAAAAAATCTCTTCTCCTTTGTTTTCCAAAAGAGATAAATTCAAAATGGGTTTTGGTAAACCTTCTAAGTTCTCATTAAACATTATTTCTTTTCTTACTTTGTGGTTTTTTTTTTCAAGTGTTTGGATGAAGCTAAGGTAGCCGACCTTGTATTTCTTTTCTTACTTTGTGGGTTTTTTTACATATCTGCTTCGTTAGAACCCTAATTTCATTTTCTTGATTTTGGGGACGGCAGAACGGTAATGTCGTCTCTAAGTAGACATCTTGTGTTCTTGATCTTACAGTTTCTTGTTGAAGAAATCCATCTTTTATCCCTTTTTCTCTCTTCTTCTTCTCCATCTTGAAGTGATCAAGAAATCCATCCTCCATCTTTCTTTCTCTTCTTCTGCTATTAAAATTCTCATAAATAAAGAAAGAAATACATATATATGAACAGTAATCCTAGAAAAAGTTGAAGGGGTTATGAGAAAGAAAACGGAAATGGAGGAGGTTGTGAAGAACAAGAACAAGTCTCTTCAACCATACGAGTAAAGGTTTAGGTAAGTAAGAAAGACATTTGAAAAACTTTAAGATGTTTGATGATTAGAACTGTTTTTTGATTGTTATTGTTATTACTGAAAGTTGGAAAAAAGAAAGAAAGAAGAGAGGTTGGTGTTGGTTGCCATCCAGGAAACTCCAAAAGTTTTATGTATAGAAAAATGCTACATCTTTTTAGACTTCCCCTATGATTCTTGAAACTTTTTGCCTTCTCTTTCTTAGGTTCTATCCATGACCCTTCTGTATTTTCTTCATTTCTGCCTTAACCCATGCCTTTTCGTAGAGTTCTTCAAAGATTTTATCCATATAAAGCAGGTTTCATATTATTAAATTAATAAACATAACTTTTGGTTACACACTGATTGATACCAAGAATGCTTTTTTTTTTGCCAAAAACCAATGGTTACACACTGTTTGATATTAAGAAATGCTTTTTTTGTCAAATGCACAAAAATGAAATGGACACAACTATCTTTACACACTGGATGCTCATTGATCAATATTCCAATATACTAAGCATCTTGTCCAATTAGTAGGAACAAGAATGAACCAGTAGGAACATGTATAGAACACATACAAGACGAATCAAAAGATTCCAGAACATGGGTAGAGAATGCAAACAAGAATTCAGAAAGCAAAATTAAAACCTCAATACCTCAGAGAAATTGCTAGGGTTTTGAAGAAGTTGTGGAGAAATCAAAACCTCAAAAGTCTGGTTATATACATTGAAGAAGGCTTCTTGGTAACCACCCATTTGTGCAAAGTTTGCAGCAATTGAAGAAATCATATGCTGACTTTGCTAATTTGGTTTTGGCGCAGAACATCCATCAACAAGAAGCTGGAAAAGAAGAAAAAAAGATGAAGCAATTTTAACCTTACCCAAACTGATTTGGCTTTGAAAGATCTTTTCTGGAAAAGGAAGAGAAGAGAAAAAGCAGCCTGAAAATTTGTCATCCAATGCATAAAAGCTTGTACCACATGCATGATGAGTTGTAATTAAGAGTTTTTTAAAAATCTTGCATAAAATAGTTGTAACTTATGCTTAGTAACTTGTATTTAAGATAATGACCTAAATGGTTATTAATGTAGTGTATATATATATATATATATATAGGGACTTTCTTATGAGAACCTATGAAATTGTGATAACTTTGAGAACTTGTGCATCGTGTATTATTTCATATGAATTTTTTCCATCTAAAACTAGAATTTGGAATATTGATTAACATATATTTATTTCACAATGTGTTTTCTTCACATGTACTCGGTTCATAATGTGAAACTTTTTGGAGTGTTTGTGAAACACAAAATATACATAAGAAAGTTCCACATTGTGAATCGAATACATGTGGGACAAACACACTATAAAACAAATATATGTTAATCAATACATTAAATACTATGCCTAGATAGAAAAAAGATCATATGAAATAACACATGATGCACAAGTTCTCAAGGTTATCACAATTTCATGAGTTTTCGATTAAGCCCCTATTGTAACACCCCCAAATTCCACATTTACATATAACACATATTTCATTACATAGAAATATAGTTTACATCATAAGGTCCCACTAGTACAAGAATTCCTATATGTACAAAATCTACATATAAAAATTTCCTAAACAAATCCTATACTTAATACATGTAATACAACATGTATCTTCAAAAGAAGCAATCTTAAGCAGATCTTCAAAAGCAGATAATAGGTTAGGAAAATAATCCACATTTTCCCTTTCTCTTTAATATCCCTGGACCCCGCTATTTCTGCATTGCATAATTTTAAAACAGAAAATGAGGGTTAGACCTGAAAGGTCTAGTAAGAAAATCCCTTCTTTGCAAATGCAGGGTGATAAACACCAAAATATAATAAAGTAACTTTGCTCAGAAATATCTGTAATACAATCCAATGATGCAGTTCTCAATGACATGTATAAAAGAATAAACTCAAGAACCCCAGTTCTATTACTAAAATACATCTGCTTAAAGATTCAACATTCTCAATATGAAACAATAATGTAACCAAAGATTCTTAAATCACCAAACCACTCCTTTGTAAATTTTAAAGGAAAGTTNTGCTTAAAGATTCAACATTCTCAATATGAAACAATAATGTAACCAAAGATTCTTAAATCACCAAACCACTCCTTTGTAAATTTTAAAGGAAAGTTTTAAGGCAATACTTGCCCTTTATGACAAACCATTTTCCACTTCTCAATAACATCTAAATTAATATTTCTAATAAGAATAATATCTTTAATTCATCAGGTCACAAAGAAATGATGATTCAAAGTTATTAAATCCAATTAGTATTATTAATAAGAGTTATAATAATATCCACATATGACAATGCCTCCGTTATTCCAAGTACACCTCTCCTTGATATGCCACCCTTA